GTACAATCATGCGTTTTGTGCAGTTTCATCTAGCAGACGCATGCTGCTAATTATGCGTACAAAAAATCGTCGAAATACTGTCTAGCCCCTAAGAAGTCATCAAAAATTTTACGTGTTCGTGCGTAGAACACAGCTTCCTGAATTTGATTTAGAATTTCAGCTTTCCTTCTCTAGTTTCCAGTATAAAGTTTTACGTGTTCGTACGCGATACGCAGGCGAAAACGAAAGCCGATTTGAGAATCCAAGGTCGCACACGGGCAAGAAACGTGCTTCTAAAATCCCAGCCTTCTATCTTGCCAGACCCCTGAATTCAGAAGTTCCTTGCCAAAAGTTCTACGTATCCATACATAAATGTAGACCTGCTTAGAAGCTAAATTTGTACTTTCAGAACTGTACATGAGCATGAAGCGTTGTCGTAAAATTTCAGCTTTCCATCTTATTTGGCCTCGAACTAATATAATAATATTTACTTCAAGAAATTCCAGTTTTGTGCCAAATCTAGATTTTTTGGACGGCACATGGCCCAGAAACTTCCTGGCAAAGCTATCTTATATGTGACTTCCGAGTTCCGAAATTTTTCATTTGAAATTTCGCGCATCCGTACATAAGGCACAGAATTAAGTGGGAGCCGAACCTGGCCCGTTACAAACAGGGAACTCCCTTTAAAAATTTCGGTTTTTGTCTTGTTTGATCCTCGTGCTGCAAAATTCCCCGTCTGAACTTTGGTGTGTCCACAAATAAGACGTGAACGTACGTGGAAGTTAAATCTTCCAGAATAGCACACTGACAGGAAATATCCTCTAAAATTTCAACTTTTCATTTTATGTAAGTTCCGAATTAGAAAGATGCCAACAATTTTCCACACAGACTCTCATGTGCCTGTGAGATTTTCGCGTATGTGGAGTCTGAATTAAATTTTACAAGGTCACACATGGACAGAGAATATTCCTCCAAAATTTCAGCTTCCTAGCTTTTTTGGTTTCAGGGCTGAAAACCCGAGACAAAAATCCGAACACACATACACACGTGTGCAGTCTCTAAAAAATGCATTTTGCATTGCTGTTACGGTGCACGATGCATAAATACTAACAAGCTGCCGAAAAGTGAGCAAATGGACGCCTTGATCGTTGAGTGCAATAAACAAGCTCTCATCGTTCCGCATTTTCATGCGCGCTTCCATAATGAAGGAACCAAAAAAGCGCCATTTTCGCAGCACCAACAAAATCATCCGAGTGCAATCGGCTGCTGATACACCACGTAACTCCGACCAGTTTGTCTCAACATTCAGCCTAATAAATATTCGTTTATCCACAACAACAACTATAATAATAGCAATACTGCATGAAAATGGCCGCTGGCAACAAGATTTACTAATTGGATGAATGTGGGATAGCGTATTGGTAAAAAACCGTTATTGGGCAGTAAATAGATGGAAAAAGCGCACTAAACCTTATGGGTCTTTCGCAACCAACATCAAGTAGTTTGGCGGGGTAATATGATGTTATTATTTCGCGAAACTGCTCATCTGTCATCGTCTTCAAATCACCAAATTTCATCTAAAACAGCAAATGAACAGAAAAGTATATCTAAGAAAGCCAACTATGCGTTTGGCTGGTACTTAAAGCAAACATGTGGATTTTTACATGCACAAATTGCATTGTTTAGCCACATGTGCCTTTTGTGTTTTGCTTTTTATGTACCAAGCACATGACATGTGCGTATGCTAATGTATATATATATATGTTCTGAATGGCGGCTGAATAAAATGTGAAATAAATTTCCTATAGATACGTCTTGCTACAACGACGGCTCTCCCATCGATCAGTCTTGCAAAGTTGTTGGCAGATATTTTGAAGGGCTTTTAAACTTGAGCAATCTTGACAACTCATGTTTCAGATCGTGGAAGAAATTATAGCTATGCCACTGTGTGCTTTTGCTTATAATTCTACGCATGTAGCTATATCAAAATACCGATATAATATATACGCAGAGAATTCTAAGATTTCCCGGGCATGTTACTGGGATGCTTCCACACGCTGGGCGCAGCTATGCTACACCATGCGGTCAGTGATTCTACCGAGAAAATCACTTCAGCTGTTCTATCTTTACATCTTGTTCTCTTATCGTCCGTTTTCTTTTCCCTCTAGCCTTATGCAATTTGACACATGCTCATCACACAATTGGTGGGTAGGAGACTGTACTGATGATTCCCATTCCTACTCGCATGCTGCGTTCGGTCTGTGTTTATAGCTAAGAGATGAGATACAAACTACATCCAAAGATTTTTTCTCATGATACTTTGATCCTTTTTCTCCTACTCTACCCTTTTAGCTGTCACTGTGGGTGTGCTAAGAGTCATCCTTTCGTTCTCGGCGTCACACTACTGAACCAGGAACCGGTACCTTGCCACCTACGAGCTAAATAACTATATACATATATACGATGTTTATGATTAGGAGGTAAATCTCTACATAGATATTTGGAACAGTTAGAATGCAAATTCATCACTAAACATATCGGCAGAAACGACATACCTGAGCGAAAACAGCTGCTAATTCTTCGCCTAGCTCACTACTTACTGGTATCCTTCCAGCAACAATCTCGTTCGCCATTCGATGCACCAAAAATGTGCGTTCGGCTGATGTTTCTGACAAAACCAGATGACTCCAGTACTGCCGATGCCGAAGTGCTAATTTTATTCGTGCAACATCTTCCGTAACGCGCCCACACTTACTGTCCATCAGTTCCCGTTCCCATCGTGATATGCAGTCGCATAGCTAAAAAAATCTGAAATCGGTTTTTACCACTTTCCATTACACTCATCTTTATTGATATTCAATTATGATATCAGCGAGAAGGTCGATAAAATATATTTTTGGTATGATTGCAGTGACAATAATAATGACGATAATAATAATAGCAGTAATAATAACCACAAATTAAAATAATAACAATAATGGAATCAGTGATAGCAGCAGCAGCAGAGAAGATATTACCATTGTTATTCTTTAAAACAGGCTAAGCAGAATCCCGAATATAACGCAAGAATAGAAGAAATGAGGACATAAGCACATGTGCTTTCTAGCGTTAGAAAGCACATAAGCTCGAAGTTCTCTGTTCGTTATTAATAAGATGCTCCGTAGAAGTTAAATTGACAAACAAAAAAAAAGTATTGCAAAACAAAACACAAATGTTTATAACAGGGGCCTTCAATTACTTTTTGTTTGTTTTTCAAGAGAAGATAACGATCCGGCTGTACTGGATCCTCGACATATAACGCATAACCACTTAACAGCGCAGGTCGCAAACCACATTTCACACACAGTGTCGACAAGCAAGCTCCAATATCCGTAGAGCCATCAAAATCGATAACCTTGAAACTTCGTTCAAAAAACAATGAAAAAAAAAATGATTTTTAAAAATCAAAATTTTTCTGAAGCCCAGGCACGAATGAAGGTACGCCTGGTTTTGGAAGATAAATTATAAGTGCACTGGTGTTACTTTAATGCATGCAAATCAACTGGCTAAATTTTCAAACATACATGGTACTCGTTCGTTGGCAACAGCACTGGGATACTGTGTGGCATATTCGTTAAAGTTGGGTCTCTAACCAAAATGGAAATTGTCTCCAGTTTGCTTGGACCCTCTGTTCGTCCACCCACTTTCAGACAACGATTTAGAGCTCGTGAACAGTACATCGCGAACTTACCCTCATCACATCTGCAAAATAAATAACGAAAATAGGAGAAACACGAGTGCTTATGAGAATATTAAGTATTAATTCAACGCGGGTGATATTTAGGTCATATATGTACGTAACATGTACGTAAGCAGTTTGTGTTTTATCACTTAGCTGTAAACACAGACAGAGAGAGAGCGAGAGCAATGGGAGATACAAATTTATTAAATTTATTTGCGACCTAAAAAGAATGAAACTTGCGAGTGGGAATATTGAGAAATGAAAACGGCTCGCTCTGTTGTTTTTTATGGTGATGCAGATACGTAAGAGAATAAACAAAAAATATCACTTGCGCTACTGTTCGAGAAAAGAAGTATGCAGATGAAAAGTAAAACAACCTTTTTGCACTCCATTTCTCAATATGCCGACGCACTAACCATAAAAGTGAATAATGCCGTGGAGCAAATAATGGTGCAGCTAAAGCCATTAACTTCCAAGCCTGCAAACTGAAGATAGCAACAACAAAGGGACGAAAAAAGTGGTCCCGGTTAGATACAGATTCACCCCTCCCCCCTCCCCCCAATTTGTTTTTTCCATTCACAGACATGTTATTCGTGTTAAATGTTTCTCAAAAGACGTAAATGCGTAGAAAAAAAAAGTAAAGGAAAATGGAAGTTAAAGAATTAAGAAAAATCAACTTTCGGCCACGCACACCCACGAGGCAAAAAAATAAATCCTACCTGGATCCCGTACGGCATGGAGCCGGAAGTGAGTTTCACCAAATACGCATAAAGTTCATTTTTAAGCAAATCACTGAGCATTGCTGTACTGAGAATGTTCTGCGCGAGATCAATGTGATACTGTACACCGGCTGGTCTCATAAGCACCGAAGTAAACATAAAACATGCTCGCCCGAGTTCCAGTGTTTTCCTCCGCAGCGATTCGTCCGATACTGTCATTAGCGTTTCCTTGGGCTTTTCCTCACATGTAGTCAGAAGTGCATCATTCCATAGCGGATCTTCTGCAGTAACATAGGGGAAAAAGGTTTTTTTTTTTTTTTTTTGGAAATGAGATGTGACATAGTGTTCCGCTGCTGCTCAATGCCTTGTGGAATTCAAAGATATTCTGCTGTAACGAAACTAGCTCTCTACGAAAGCCCCTGCTGCTCCGAGCCCTGGATTACTTTGTCTCGGCGTGGCTATGCTTGCAAAACCATTACCACAGCTAATATTTCATAATTCTAAAAAAGCAAACAGAAATGCAAACGAGGCATTTGCCCGCTTACCGTCCGCAGTATTTTCGGTCATCATGCGTTG